AACAACTAGGGTTCTCAACCAAAGCCTTTAATTCTGACAAGAAACTAGCCGCAAGGCAGCGGGTGAAGCGAAGTGGAGGACCATTTACTTGGATCAATTAATCCTCCACCATTGTTTACTGACTGACAAATTCTAGTCGAACCCCCAACCCGTAGGACCAGGAAACTGGACTTCGTCCGACCTCTATCCTTCGACGATTAGATTAGATTGGATCTTCGGTCTGACAAAAGTCATCTTGTGTAGCTCGTTGGGTCAAAGAGGTGCACAAGCCATCATACCACGTCAAGGTGCAGTCTCGTTGTGGACAGGTGGTTTAGTTTAAAACAGCATTGAACACAGTGGCATTATCTTTCATTCATAAGTGAGTATTCAGTTGAACTACCATTGGGTATTGACTATCCCCGATAAATCCTTTTTTGTTACACACTAGTGTGACAAACAGCACACGGGGTGGACTTCATTGTCACGAAAACCTGCTGTTCATTGGTGGTAACCGGCAATTTAAGCCATAGGACTTGCAGTGGCGAACCACATAAGGCTCTTCTAGATCAGGCATAATGTTGAACCGGACGACAGCAAAGCTGTCTACCTAGCTGCCTATCTATCAGGGAGATTGGAAAAAAACAGATGATTCAAAGAGATGAGGTCTATAATTTACCCAATCAGTAATTTTTGCAAATCTTTGCTTATTGGTTCTTCACTTTTAACATACCAGAAGCGTAACTTGTAGGAACCATGGTAACCTGTGTCAAAGACTCCAAATTAGTCGTCTCATACTCTGCAGATTTGGCTTCCACACAATCCGTTACTGAAGCACAATCCGATGAACATGACAAGTTGTGACAATACGACACCACTGCAAAGCAGAACGCCGAATTGACTGGTAGATCGAAGGTTAACAAGCTGGTCGTCTGATGTGGAGCAATGATTAAAGGTTCCTGGGTATCGCCTTGAAATATTTTTGTTCCGTTGATTTCTGAGTTCGACTGTGAAGATTGACTTGGTGGAACGTAAAGGGCAATACTCCCCACCTGCGGAAAACAAGAAAGGAGTCGACAGCAGTTAGTCACTTTCAAATGTGATCGTCTTCGGAAAAAAACTGAAAGAAAACCTCAGGCGTTCAAAAGTCTGCTTTTACGTGAAATGAGCACCTGTAAACTTTAATGAAATACTCACTTGAATGGGATGCGCATGAGGATTAAACGTGTGCAGGGATGCAACAGCTGACCCCGCTTGGTAACCAATGTCCACAAATGGGAGTATATAATCTGTATTTATATAAGCGGTGCCAAAAGCCTTTGGGTAACTAGAAAGCAAAATAGATTTACTTGGTACTTCAATTGACCACGCGTAGTAGATATGTATATGCTGCCTTCAAAGGCTCCTATTTTGTAAGGAAAAAATGTCACATTGAAGCTGGCAGATGACATCGGTGAAACAGACTACAAATAGACATAGCAAGAATTTATAGTACCGTCTGGTTCATTTTAGACCACACGAAAGCTTCATGTGTGCCGAAAGTCGCGACAATCTCAAAAGAGTTGTCAAAATCCAAATTCTTCAAGGTAACCTCCAATCGTTTGGGGCTCGATAATGGCCTAAAGGATTATGAAATACTGCCTTCAACTTACTGATACCCAAAATCGAGGAAACTAGGATGGAGGGCGACCTTCATCAATAAACGCTGATTGGTCCTGGGAGTGTATTTTACACGAATTAGTTAAACTTACATATATTCATTCGAAAACTTTTGATGATACTAGAAGGGAACCGTTAGGAAAAATTTTCGGCACTTACGAATTCCTCGATATCATCCAGCAGATCGGCAACTTTCTTTTTTGTGTTTTCTGGGGAAGTATTTCTCAAATAAGTTTTCAGCATACCTTTGCAGCTGCATTTTGCAACTGACAAGCATGTAGAAATGAGAGCTACGAAAAAACTGAATAAGGCGATCTCTCTGAAGCGCGCCAGCCACATAGATCCACGAGGGGCAACCAAAGCACTTCCAACCACATCGACCTTGAGACTTAAAGTATCCGGCTAACCCAACCAGGCCTCGCAATGTGGAATGGAAAAACAACTCTTGAAGTCTTGAGTCCTGAAGTAGTATTCGGATTAGAGGCTTGCGCCAGATACTCCCGGTTCGGTATTTGTCTGCTTTTCCGCAATTCGTGGCAGGAGATGAAAGGGATGGTAATGGAAAAGGTAGCTGGCTCCAATATGGTGTTCAGTTCAGTTCAGTTCAGTTTGCACAGGACGATATGTGGCCCGGACCAATCTTGCGTCCAGATTGATGTGTTGTTTGCTGTTCTTGTGGCTTCCAACACTGCGAGTCAATAGGTTTTTTCTGAAAGGCAGTAAGTAAGGTGCAGTATCACGTCCTTCAGTTCGGTTCCAGGACCTTGACGGCGGTGTGCCAGTTAGTCCAGTTTCCTGCAGCGGTGGGCTCCAGGGATCCCCCGATGCTACGACAGATGGAAGAGGGAGATGACTCTTCTTCAATTTT